CAGTTTTTCCAGGAGCGAAACTCTATAGAGTGTTTGAAAAAGAAACCCCTCCCCCTTTTTGACGTTATTTTCAAGCCCATAATTGTTTGGACACTCCATATAAAATTTACGATAAAATTTCATAGAAATTACAGAATGGGGTAAAAATTGCAAATTTTACTGAACAAATGTGTCGTACCACATGCCTGAATTAACGAGATTTTTTGATGACAAATACTCATATCTAAAGAGTTTTTCTCAGTTACACTCAGGTAGAAAAAAACGTCATATTAGAGGTTGCGCCGCCTGGACATACCTTTGCTTACAAAAACACTAACAATTTATTAAAAAATAAAAATTATGATTTATGGTTTATTCTGTAGATAGAAAAGATGATGCTAACTAAATGTGTAAAAATTCATTGATGTACCTAAAGCGGTTTTAATTTTATGACGCTAGTCCACGAACTTTTTGATAACCCCTCGTATATGCAAAAATAAACAAATCATGAGATTTTATGTAATGTGTGGTATCGCCTTACGGCGCACAGATGATAACGTCAAAGTGTCTAAAGCAGCGCCACGTTTCCTCTATGTTAAGAAAAAGTTGAATAAGCCCCACTTAAATTCGGGAATTTCATTGATACACAAACTTGAGTTTTCCTTATTCCTTCATAAACAATTATCTCGCACACACATGTGACCTTCTGAAGATTTATTAGTAAGTTATGGACAGTACTCTCACTATCATTCAACTAAATAGGCTATCATATCTTATATCGACGGTCTACAGTGACAGCGTCTATTGCGCTATTGCCATTAGCTGTTTGTCTGTATGTTTTGCTCTACTGGGGACTCGATCATAAAGCTTTCGCTTAGAAAACTCCCATTTCACATGTATATTAAAGATCTAGTGATATCCCCCCCCCCGTAGTCATTTAATCTCTTAGGGCGTCATTACTACATCTTAATCAAACTGAACTGCTCTCCTGTGTGCCGTAACATAATCAAACGTCGCCATTTTTTGTGTGTTGTGTTTACCACTTTCCCTTTTCAAATGTTCGGGAAACTGCCAAAAATTAAGCAAATGCCTTTTTAGTACGTTTTTCACAATATACAAAGCAAATTTCATATAGATACATGTATATGCAAAAATAAACAAATCATGAGATTTTATGTAATGTGTGGTATCGCCTTACGGCGCACAGATGATAACGTCAAAGTGTCTAAAGCAGCGCCACGTTTCCTCTATGTTAAGAAAAAGTTGAATAAGCCCCACTTAAATTCGGGAATTTCATTGATACACAAACTTGAGTTTTCCTTATTCCTTCATAAACAATTATCTCGCACACACATGTGACCTTCTGAAGATTTATTAGTAAGTTATGGACAGTACTCTCACTATCATTCAACTAAATAGGCTATCATATCTTATATCGACGGTCTACAGTGACAGCGTCTATTGCGCTATTGCCATTAGCTGTTTGTCTGTATGTTTTGCTCTACTGGGGACTCGATCATAAAGCTTTCGCTTAGAAAACTCCCATTTCACATGTATATTAAAGATCTAGTGATACCCCCCCCCCCCCGTAGTCATTTAATCTCTTAGGGCGTCATTACTACATCTTAATCAAACTGAACTGCTCTCCTGTGTGCCGTAACATAATCAAACGTCGCCATTTTTTGTGTGTTGTGTTTACCACTTTCCCTTTTCAAATGTTCGGGAAACTGCCAAAAATTAAGCAAATGCCTTGAAATTTTCCAAAAGACGACATAATAGATAATGGACTAAAAATTTGATAATTTTTACCCCAGTCTTATCTATTTAAAACTTTTATTTCGAAATAATACTCGTGTATTCTCTAATGAAACTATGATTTTTTTATAGTGCGCCGTAGTCCTGACCGTACCCCGTGAACATTCAAGCCTAAAATCTTTTTTTTTTTGTCTTTATTTTATAAAAAAAAAATTAAGATGTATTTAAATCTGATAAATAAACATTTGCTGAAAATTTCAGCTCAATGTTCCATTCTTTTTCGATAAAAAAACTTTGTCCACGATTTTACCGACAACCCTCGTATATGTTTTGGTTTCCTTTCTAGACGTCATTTGGAAACAGTTCATAAAACCCTTGCAGTGATTCTGGATATACACTGAAACACTCGTTCTGCACTGAATGAATAAAGCAAGAAAAGCTAGGTTAAACAAGTGGTATCACAGCATTCAGAGTTTAAAGTCAAATTAAAAATTAAAAAAAGATCATGTATAAGACGTATCCTCTACTCTAGATAACACACTACTCTTTAAGACATTTATTGCTTTTGAATATATTCACCTTTTCATCCCTTAGTGCAAAAATTCACCTTGTCATCCCTTAGTGCAAAAAAAGGAAATATTTTAGCAAGTGCACATAGCAGCGAAGTTAAGCATACAAACGAAAGATAGAGCTTTTTGAGGCCAAGTTGAAACACATGTAGATACTAGTGTATTAATACAACGTTATGTCATTCATTATATTTTTTCCTTAGGCAAGCTACTGGCAAAAAAAAAAAAAAAAAAAAAAAAAAAAGCGCGGGTATGAATACTGTCGTGTAAAGTCAACACTTTGCAAATTCTATTGTCGATACATTAGCCTTTGTTTGCAAATTCCACCCGTAATTAGGTAGAATGTTTACAGACGCTTTTTAATACATTTTTATGCCATTATTTCCATACTGAGTTGACTCCGGATTTACCCATTTAGTAAATCAAGACAAAAGGCTCACGGTTGGTGTGTCCTGTTGACAGGGGATGCTTACTCTTCTATTGCACCTGATCCCACCTATGAAGTTTTCAGGAGTTCGTAATTGCTCTGCTCTCCATTTGTTTTTTTTATTTTGACCTTTTAGCATGATTACTATAAATCTTTATTAAAGAAAAGATCGCTGAAGGTTTTAGAATAGAGGTTCGATATGAAAAAAAAGTCCAACTTCCTGCATTATATATTGAATAAGGAATGATAGGTCTTTCAGTCTTTCATATGTTTTGGTATTTATGAATTAGGAATATAAAAATATTACTGACAGAAAAGAGTGATGTTAGGAACATTTAAGAATTATAAATGTAATATACACCATGTATTAAAGGAAAAAAAAAACAAGACAATGAGGTCACCGTAGCCTTTTCTGAAATTTAAAATTGAGACTTCTGATTGAATACAAAACGTTACAATTGAATAGACAGAATTTAATAATTTGTATATTCTTCGAGAAGAAATGCATGTGAGTATATGAAAAATATTAAAACGTCACATCTACTCCAGAAGAAGCAAATTGGTTATGTTTATTCATACAGTACCGCAAAACTTTTAAGTCATTTAAAAATTAAGTTGAAAGACAATGTAGAAATTTTAATTCAAGAATAATGAAATGAAAAAGAGTGTAAATATGGTGTTAAATCGAGTGCTCTGATTCATTTTATAACCCATATATCAATGAAAAATTTCAGTCTATTAGATTGCAAGAGTACTTTGACTTAAAGCGAACATTAAAAAAATTAATCTGATAAAAGGAAATAAGACTTTGTAATGCTTGATTATTTCCGAATATCATAAATGTTTAGTATTGTAAAGTGTATGATCACTTTTTGTTTCTAATGACTTAAATCAGCAACAAGTAGCTTTTTAATTCTTTTGTTCTGCATGTCAAATGCTCTTTCTATAGATCTAAAAACGTAATGTACTACATGTAATATACCCTGAAAAAATATTGTATTATCGGGTCAATAGATATAAACAACTCTCAACAAACATAATTCTTTGAGATTTATATGCTTTAGTGAGACGAACCCCAATGTTTATTTTTTTAAGTGTCAATTTTATTTTTAAGTACCAAATTTGATTTAATTTTGTTACTAATAGTGATGAAAATCAATGTAGAAAACCACGAGAGACGACTGAAACAACGAGTCTCGATCAATAAATACATACAAGAAAGCTTGTAGGAATAAAGCTGCCTTTACAGAGCGACATCCTATGGACATCAGCAGAAAATGATTCTGCTTACATGTATGTTCCTACTCTCTTCAGGTAACTGCTAAACTTATTACTTTCTTATTAAGACTTTTTATTATTTTGAAAGACATCTTAATTTTTAAGGGATTTAAAAAAAAAAAAGAAAAAAAGATATTGATATTTTTTTCAAAATTAATTTATATTTTTTTGTGCCGATCCATAATTTTTAATCATAAAAAATGAAAGTTGCATTGTCACCTGCTTTGGTTTTGTAAAAATGGCATCAGACGAAGTTATGAATTATTTCAACGAAATACGTGACAATACGTCCATGTTGACTGAGAGTGTTTAATAACAGTGCACACTTTTTAGGAATTATTTGCATATCTTTAGTAAATGCTTTTGCTTCAAAACTTGCAAGAGAGAATGATTTACTTCTTTATTTAGATTTTTTTAATGATAAAAAAACAAACAAAAGTTTTCTTTCATGTTTTATGAGAAATTGAAGCAATTAATACATTATGTTACCAAAGTGAACATACTGTAGGTTATTATAAAAAGTGCCAGCAACATGGAAATACTTTTCAACTCGATTACATTTTTCCTTTTAATTTCTTAAAACACACAGGTCAAACCTTACGTACTGCTAACTACACACGACAGACCAGATATGACGGAGTCCTACCTTTAGATTCTAGCTTGATTCGGTATCCCGACGCCCAAAGTCGGATCATCTGCGCAGGATTTTGTTCGGGATACGAAATTTGTAGGACTTTCTTGTATCATTATGGATCTAAAGATTGTTTTATTTGGGACAAGCTCTTAGAAGATAGCTCTGCGACAAAACCTGTCAGTGGGATACAAACATACGAATCCAACGCCCCATTCATCAACCTCAGGGGTACTGCTTTATAACTGCACTTTATACAAAAATCTATGTATATTATGTTATTAGTACACAAAGTCTAGAATCATTCCAAATTAAAGTTTATTATGTATATCGAATTCATTTTCAGAGAATTGTGTAAATCACGGGTTCACTATCAGTGACAGTGAAAGAATGTGCTTTAAATACTTTTACAACAGTGATCCCCGTCCTAAAGAAGTTATTCTGGGTGAATGCCAACAGTTCGGGGCTGGATTGCTTCTTCTAAACACTCCGGAAAGGAGGGCTTTCTTTCAAAGCAAAGGTATGAAATAAATAAAGATATTCAAAGAAAACTCAATTTGGAGAAACTGACTTGTTATACTAGTAGATGGCATTTGTATGTTTCTTTTTTAATAAATATGATGATAATGAATAAATATTTAATTCATGTATTCTTTTTGCTTTTCGTCCTTATTAAATAAGGTACATGTATTATGATGACAGTCTTTATACAAAATTATGTTCCGGAAAATAAGCGCTCAATAGCAAACCACAGAACACCAAAAACTTTTGTTCACTTTCAAATTGATGTTATACAGATTATGAAATTATAGGAACCAATGAAGCACACGTCGGACTAAGCGATGCAAAAGAAGGGACATGGATCTGGGATAACGGAGACCCAGCAGATGGCGCTGTTCTGACTAGTGCTACATTCGACAACGATGATGATCGGTACACATGTCCAGAGGGCGCTGACTGTGTTGTAGTCTTCATAGAGAGTAATAGTTTAACGTTCAAGGACTACTGCTGTGATTTCTTCAAACATTGGTACTGTGCTATTTACTTTTGAACACACTGATGATGTGGTATTTTGACTTTACATTTAGCAGTTTTGATTTCAGATGATATAAGATTGCACCTGGGGAATTATTGGGGAATATTTGAAGTTATGGAAGACTGTACTATTATTAAAAACGAAATTTTATCACTGCGTATCTGAAAGTATATTCAAGGAAAATGTTCTTTCATATTGATTTCTGTTAATTACAGTAATTTTTTTCATCATCAAATGTGATGTTTAGATTATTATGCTTAACCAAACGGAAAAAGTACATGTTGAAATTAATTGGTACTCCGTAAAAATGTTCAAATATAGCAAGGTCGAGTAATCAATAATTAATCCATCAATTTTATTTCCAAGATGATATTGATTATATTGTGTGGTGTATTATGCCCATTGAGCTACATTAATGTACTATTATAGATGTCTACAAAAATGCATCGCTGAAAGTCGTTTGTGAAGATGTATTGTATATTTTACAAACATTATATTTTCTTTGACAAATATTCAAAATACAAACCTTGTGGAGGTACATACTCAACTTCTTAAAAGTCTTACAATAATGACAAAGAAATCATCTCAGAAAGCCATAATGCTTTATGGTGCAATCCTGATTTGAATGTCATTTACTGCAAATAACGTTTTATTTATTGTATAATTCTGTGATAGGAAAACAGATCAAAGGCAAAAGGAACAGAGGAATGATTTTATTCCTTGATGTTAAATTCGATTTTCTTGAGCTGTTATTTAAGTATAGAATTTGCATATCAAAGCTAAATAAATCATAGATAGTAGATTCCTTTGAAAGTTATAATTAGTAACCTTATGTTTCTTTGTATCATTAAAAAAAATCGATCAATAGATGAAGGTGAAATCTACAATTCGCTTTAAAGAAAAAATTCAAATTAAGTTCGTGTTAGATTAGTACTGGAGGAAAAAACAAACACGGTTATTATCTTTCATTTCTTTTTTTATGCATTCTTTCACAAACAGCAGGACCACTGTAATAACATTCATATGGATACATTCCACAGTAAGGCGATTTAATTTTTTCCCCTCAAATAACAGATCAGGCCATGTTAGTCATAATAATATTGAAGCATTCCCAGGATGTGATGATTCAAGTTAGGGTATGTCAGCACCCTTTGCGGCAGGGAGTGGGATCGTAATACGGGGTAAAATTTTCATGTGTTTTTTTTTTGATCTTGTGATATACAGCATGGTCAGTGTGACCAAGGTGAACGTCTTTGGACAATTGGTTTTCTTGTTACAATCGGTGATGTATATCATGTATATAGTATAGTGTCAGTCGCACCCCCCCCCCCCCAAATAGGATTTTGTGTTCAGTCTGTGCAGTATTTTTTTTTCAAATCATTGAAAACGTTAGTGCTTAATAAAAATTGCGGGAAATAGTTTAATAGAAAATTGTATTTATTCCAATAAGACAAGATGTGTTAAAGACAATTTAACCTTTAGATTAAAGAATAAATAATGAACAAAGATATAGATTCCTTATAAATATTGACTAATTTTTTTTCTATTTAAATCTATGTTAGGAAATATGAAGATAACAAAAAGTAATCAAGCTCAAACGTCCATTGAAACAATTAAATCGAAAGCAGATCAAAAACGGATTTCCAAAAATAGAGATAGAATCAGATGCCATGCAGGAGAAAGCATCTCCAGTTGACCGGTCACACCCGCGGTGTGTTACTTGTTATGACCGAGAAAACGGAAAAATCCGTAGACAATTCAGTGTGTAAATAATAGCTTATCAATTTGTTGTAAAAAGGTCCGCCAATAATCGAGTTATTGATAGAATGCATTTGCTTGCAGTCATTGTATCGACCATAGAATTTGCGAAACATTTTCTTTAATGAAGACTGTTAATATTCCTGTTTCATCAACTTGTTTGTCAATAAGTTGCCTCGTTTTAGAAATCGTTCGTACGTAGAGCATACTCCTGTGTATAAAATCAACTGGGAGACACAAACTCCTTATGCAGGTGACAATGGTATATTTTAGGGATGGCAATCGAATACAGAATTGCAAGACGTTCCGACCGATTAATCGGTTAATCTTAAAAAAAAAAAACGGGATATGCCTGAAGTATCAGTTACATAAAAAAAACTTCAGAAGAGATGCCGTGCAAACAATTCTGCATTGTCATTATAATCAAAACTAAAACTGGACTATCGCTTACAATGTTTGTTTAATTATACAATTTGATAGGTAAATGCAAAGGATAGAAAAGGTAAGGTACACATTATTATCAGTTCGCAGTACTCAACGATCATTAAAATCATTAAAGAAACATAGGACAGGTTTGGTAACGACATGGTGTTTACACAGCAATTAACATCTCGAAAACTGACTAATTATCCCCATGGTGTCCATCTGGAGAGCCTTAATTATCTCTGAATCAACTTAAATAGATAGGTGAAAATGCTGTCATTTCAGATATTTTTATTTGTATCTTTTTAATTGATTTTTTTTTATGAAACTGTGTTCAGATTTACACATATATTAATTTTTTTCCGACTAACTGACTACAGATTGTCTAACCTATTACCATTGTTCCGACCGAGTAACCGGTTAACAGATTACAAATTGCCATCCATGTGAATTTAATAGCTACCCAAAGTATACTTTATAACCTAGGTTGGGGCAGTTTACGCTTTATAAACCGTGTATTATTATTATTATTTTGCGACTGGTGCTTCTTGCGAAATTAAGCGATAATAAATTCCTTGTGTATATTTAGGAATCTACAATATCCATATCTAAACGGCGGAGTTTATTTCCATTTCTGTAATGACCATGATTTTTTACTGATGTGTAATGCTTATTTTTAATTTTCTTCCTTTTGGATAAAATCTTTGCCCGTTGCTTCATCATTATACAAATAAAACTAAGTACTTGAATTTTTCTAATACAAAGACCTATGTGTTGTTAAATTGTACAGATGAAAAGGAAAGAGATTTTCGCTTTTAAAAAGCAGAATTTCCTTTAATTCCTTCCGTCATATTAATAATTGTTTATAATTTATACCCTGATTTTAGAATCAATCATGAGATTTCTTGTAAAAACAAATCACAGTGAACCTCAAAATTACGGCGTGTTTAAGAGGAAAGTACATACAATGTAATAAGTATGAAAATGGATGATATTATATGCTAGTAAAATTATTTTGAGTTAAGTTTCATGTATTGTATGTAAGAGTGTAAATCCCCACTTTGTGCCTCTTATCAGTAAACCCGTGGGGACCCCCCGGTAATTCTATCCTTTTGAGATAAGCAAACTAGCATCATTCTATCCACTGCTATTGTAAAGACAAGACGGCCAATCATTTGCTTAAAATATTTTGGATTACCCACCTCCATTCCCAATCAGACCTTTAATGTACATGTACATCAGGCCACCTCAGATTCAAATGTTTTATGTTTTCATTGTAATTTAATTTCTTTGTATATATATATATATATATATATATATATATATATATATATATATATATATATATATATATATATATATATATATATATATATATATATATATATATATATATATATATATATATATATATATTGTGTGGTCATATTTCCTTTAAAATCGGAATTATGTTAAATTTAAGACATTTCATATGTATAAGGCCATATTTTGGAGGCCACCTATTTTGCCAATTTATATATGTTATGTAATAGTCACATACTGGGAGGCCAATTTGTTATTGCATAATTGTTTAATATTTTTTCTCAGGAATTGTGTTTTAATGTTACATGGTCTCCCAGTCTTTTTCATTCAGTTTTATGTATTATATTATATGTTGTCATTTCATAATAAATGACATTGTTTGGAACAAATCTGTCCTGTGTTATTTGGCAAAAAACAAGCTCAATGTAGTCAGAGGAGTGTTTAATCCTAGGAATGAAAGCTAAACTTAAATGTTATTTTTCCTCCCGCGGTTCAGAGATGATTTTGAGTGAAGAAAGGTAAATCCTGATCATAAAAGAAGAAAACAATAAGAAGAGAATAATCTATTGAATGAATGCATAAATAAGTCTGCAATCAACATTTAAGTATCTCTGAAGTTCAAAACTTACAGTATAGACTTAATGGTATTAATCGATTTAACACACACACCCACACACCCTCACACACACACACACACACACACTGCAGAAATTGACAATCACAGACACTAGAAATTATAGGAACATTTTTACAGCTCCAAAACGAGGGTCACTAAAAATGGCGCCCCCTTATCCTGTTTTTTAAACAATTTATGATCAACATATTTTTATGTGTAAAAACATTTAATTTGTGTAGTTTTATTCCATTATTTGATTAAATACAAATCATGTTACTTAATTTCCAATTCAACATGTTTTGAGTAGATGGAGCACTCTTAACAACATTGTAACGTCAAAAACAAAGACGTGAAAGTTTCTCAGAATTACTCCTTTCTTCATTTCTCACAGGTCTTCAGCGCCTTACCTATTCATTAAAAGCATCTTCACAACACTTGCCTATTCACAAGTTTGCTAATGATTGTACGAGTAGTATTGTATAGTTCTAAATCTAGTAATGCAACTTACATCCACAGTTGACTTTCTAAGGATGAAATTCTTCAAAATCACATTTCAGTCTTTAATTCTTTTAACATTCCAGTCAATAAAGGTGAGTTCGAACTACCCTACCTATACTGTATTCCTAAAATTCATAAAAATCCTTACAAGCAAAGACACATTGACGAGTCCAGCAAATGCCTTACAAAGCCCCTGTCTTTAATCTTAAAAAAATATTAACTTCTGTAAAGGAGAAACTTCAGATGTACTATGCTACATCATATTTTAGAAGTGGGGAAAATCAGATGTGAATTCTCAAAAACTCTAAAGTTCTTTTTAGAAAATTTAAAAACAACAAATTTTTCAAAAGTCATTAACATCAAAACTTACGAATTTTCTACACTTTATACAACCATTTCTTTTGATAAATAAAAAAAA